TTTTTTTTTTTTTTTTTTTTTAAATTTGACTGAATAAGGTGTAATAGATGCCAAGATCTTTATTTATAAGATAAATTTATCTTGAACAAGTACGCATGGTATCACCTAATAAATTGAAGTTAATCCATCACATGCCAAATTAAAAGGATAACATCGGTGATATGGTGCGTTAAACTAACTGTGCAAAGACTGGAGGGCAAATGGAGGCTGAAAACTACATGCTTTCACAAACGACAAAATTCTCCAAAATTTTGGTCGTGGGATTATATTGTATTTCTTTTACAGCAGGCACAACTTTTGATCTCAGTTTTCGTCTAAACAATTAGAAAAGCTTCCTTTTACCCTGTTAGCGACATAGTTGCCGTGGATGAGTTCCGTGAGGATTGATTTTCATTTTCGGATTGCATAATTCTTAACGAAAGTTAACCAAATAATCGCGTTTTCATCGTTCCATTATATTTCTGTAGTGAACAACTCCGCACTACGGCCTGAACAACTTCCCACCAACTTTACGGCCTTCTACATACAGTCGCTTAGCTTACTTAATTCTGAAACACGGGAAAATTCAGTCAGAAAAAATATGGAGTATTCACTACCTCGATTGTTTCTCCGCACTTATTTGAAATGAGGGGACTGTAATCATTTCAGCCTTCGAGGCCTAGATGGTTATTTACTACTGGCTCGGATCAAATGCACGCTCATTTATATTACCTAATTGGTAGAGGCTTCAGACTGTAATGGGCCTCGGTTTGTTTGAATGGAACACGTCGGCGTATGGATCTTAACTTAATTACATTTTGGGACAACTAAACCGAGAGTAAAACGACGATTAAACATCAGGTAATGAGCTCTGCCACAGATCAAAGTCTGTCGAGACTACATTACGTGGCTTGCTTAATGCGATCATAGCGTTCACTCTTTATGATGAAGCGGGGTGCAAAAAGGATTCTGCAATGGCCTTGTCGAAATGACAAAAACTTCCGGAAACTAAATTAGTAGTCTAAAATTTCAATTTTAAATTCCGCTGGGATTTATCTAGTTCCAGAAGATAAAATTTGCTTTACACTAGTTAAGTAATTATGGTATCAATAATTTCCCTTTTTCTCCTACATGTTTAGTTCCATTTACAACGCGTGGGCGTAGTGGACGATTTGGAACTATTCAGAAATTCACCGTTCCCAGAAGCGCTCGCTATCTTATCAAAGCTTGGGGAGCCCGGGGAGGAACACACTCATACAACTATGGATACAAGCCGGGAACTTACTATGGCGGCAAGGGTGCGTACATTAAGGGCAAGTTCAGACTGACTAAAGGAACAGTGCTGAATATTGTGGTGGGACAGAGAGGAGGAAACTCAGTAGAGGTGAAAGGAGGAATAAGTACTACCCAGACAGCAGCTCAGCTAGGGCGGTCTGTAGAGGACAATGCTGGTACAGGGGGAGGAGGAGGAAGTTTTGTTTACACTAGAAGTAATGTGCTTTTATTAGCCGCCGGAGGGGGAGGGGGTGCGTCTAGTGGATATAACGGGGTGGATGGTCAGGCGGGAACAACAGGCACCAGTAGTGTTGGGCAAATTCCGTCCAGAGTTCGGAAGGGAGGTACTGGGGGGCAGCCGGGTGAATGTAACAGTGCAGGAGCTAGTTACCATGGGGGTGTAGGTGCAGGCTGGTATGCTCAAGGGTGTGCCAGGAAGGGGAAACAGCATGGAGAGACGGGCGGATCACGTGCTCAAGGCTGGACTGGAGGTCGAGCCGGCAGCATGAACAGCGGGTACAACGGGGCGCGAGCACCAGGAGCGGTGGGAGGATTTGGTGGTGGTGGAGGGGGGTCAGAAGATAATGGTGCATCTGGTGGAGGGGAAGGGTACTCTGGGGGAGGCAGCGGTACCCGTGCACGCCAAGCTGGAGGGGGAGGGGGTTCGTACTGTAGTGGTCAGGGTTGTTCTGGTGTAACTGGTGGAAACTCCAATGATGCAGGGCTTGTGAAGATTATCGAGATATCCGCATAATAACGAAAACATGTTTTTTGTTTTCTTTATCTCAAACCAACTGGTAGACATAACCCTCCGTAGATTTAATCTTCAAACTAATTTTTTCTCAAGTAAAATAGTTTTCCTGGTTATTCCATAACTTTTTTCACCAAAGCAAAACACATCAGCAATGTATAAAATAGTTTTAAGTTTTTGTCTGGTCTCGTGAGACTTAGCGCTAATTATATTGCACGAGCACTAACGAGGTACAGCGAACGTAACATAGGGAAGCCTTCACTGATGAAACAAAAAGCCCGACAATTGCCATAAGAAGTTTAAAGAATTAACGTCAGTTTCTCGTGCGTCTGTCCCGTTATTGATCATGAATTTTGTCATAACGTTGTCAAAGTAGCTGTGGATTCACGAGGCGAAAGCCAAGTAGATCCGCAGACTACTTTGACACTGTTATGACGAAATTCATTGTCAATAACAGGCCAGACGCATGAAAACTGACTCCAATCTGTTTTTTTTTTTGTCAAATTATCCGCTCTCGCTCGTTGACGCATCGCATAAATTAAAAATTCATGTCTGTCCGCTTATTGACAATAATAAATTAGCCAATGAAAGCGTGAGAATTTCTACAGTTATCGTAAAAGTTTTTACTGAAAAATATATCATAACGCGGAGTGCACTTTAGTGAATGTTAGTACGTCAAGTAGCTGTCAATATTAGCAATAAAAATGGCGGCACTATAATTGGAATTCCAAATATAAATTAAAACTAGCTGATATCTGCGCCAAATGTTTCCCTTGAATTGGTCTGGAAAAGTGTCTGCTCCGAAAATACTTGTCTCATCAATTTGTTTCAACAGTGGAACCGTCTTTAGGAAAGAAAAGCTGTATAGAAGACTTACCAAGGTTTTGCCACACAGCAGGGAACCTCAGTTTGCTTTCTAGCATTTTCTAACAAACTTGAGCAGCTGCTGATAACTTTATGGGTTTTTCCGTTGTACATAGTGAAACCGAGGGAGAAAATCACTGCATGTAGGCTATTATTTTTCTTTACTGCTTTTTTCTTCTTTTAATTCTAGGACTCGTCCACGCTAAGCCGAAGGAAATTGAAAACGGAGGTTTCACTCTAAAAGCGAATCAAATGTTTTCCGTTCACATTACGCCGAAAGAATTTAAGAACGCAACAATCACCGGTCATTTTGGATTCGTGTTTGCAGAACAGTCGGGAAGGAAAATCAAATTATCGCGACGCCATCGTTTTCAAAAAAGCTCCGTTTTCAAAATGTTTTCCGTTCACACAAAAACGGAAAGCCAGTGTTTTCAAATACCTTCAGCTTCAAGAGCGTTTTAGAAAAGCTCCGTTTTCGTAACAGATTATTGTGAACGGTAGGCCTTACCGTAGAAATAAAGCCACGTTTTCAATTGTTTTATTTTGTAACCTTTATAAACTACTGGGTCTTTTATGCTTATCAGTAGGGTCTAGTTAACAAAGTTGGCACGAAACAATAAGAATCCAAATATCCGGCGCTAACATATTGTTTTGCTTTTGTGAGGAAAACTGTTTATCTCTTGTTGATTATGCTAACGCGCCATAAAATTTCGATTTAGCTCCCGGGGTGCCGGTTAAATTTTTGTTTCTGTTTTGAGAGCTACCCAAAAGAGACAAGTTAGTTTTACTCAATTTCGCCTTTGCCGTGAATGGCTAAAGCACTGAAACTACAAAAACTGCTTCTACACCGAAACACCTACAGTTCAACCCCTATTAAACGGTCACCCTTGGGGAAATGGATAGTGGCTTCTTAAAGGGGTCTGGCCGCTTAATAGAGGTAAAAACAGTAGAAAAGCCCTCATCGGGACCTTGATTACTGTCCGCGTAATAGGGATGGTCGTTGTATAGGTGGCTGCTGCTTAATAGCAATGTAATGAGACGAACGTTAATCGCTCTCACAACTCACTAATTACACTTGGTACCCTGAGCCTGAATATTGGAAGATGGGAATAGGTGGTAAAATAACGGGTGTTCATTGGAATAGAGAATGCTTATTGTAAGAGATGCTAAATCAAATCATTATGGTATAAAACAATCCAAAAAATCTATATAGCTCAGTTTAAGTACATGTATTGCTGTACCTTTTTATGGGAAACTAATAAAGTTAATTCAACGGGAAATCAGTGTCTTTAGAGTTTGGTCTTGTATTATTTCCCAAATATGTCATCTGGACGCGCTTTTCTCAATCATGCTCTTCTCGTATCATGAAAATTAGTGTCCCTGGATAAATGAAGCCATAACAAAAGAGAAAAATCATTCTGTCCTTAAGCAAAACGACAAAAAGAAAAGAAAAGAAAAGAAAA